GATAGTAGAAACTATTAAAGCACCTTATAGAGGTTAAATCAATGCCCGTAACGTATATTTAGGTAGTAGGCCTCTTTAGAGGGATCCGCAGGATAGTTAGCCGTGACTAGACCGAGGCCGAGGGACGCCTCTTAAATCAGGAACTAATTCTCCCCGAGGATCTTTATACCCTTAGATAACGATATATTAAGACTAGATATAAAGACTAAGGAAAGCGAGGTAACTATCGCGCTATAGTCTTCGCTATATTATATACTAGAAGGGAAAAGGGTAAACATACCTTAGAGACCACGGCTAAGCCTAAAAGGAAGGGCGGCCGTGGGAAGAATAAAGCTAAGAATTCTATTACTGCGGTATCTATAGATATACCTTCTATTACTTTAACTAACCACTCTTCTTCTAAAAGATATTAATCTGCCCTACGGCGAGGGGAACCCTATCGTGTATATACTACACCTAGTAACGATATCGACGCCTGCTACTAACCTTTCCGGAAATTGTAACGAATAGTTAGATTACGTATAATAGCACTAAAATAACCGTCTAACGGATTCTTAAATATAAACCGCCGATACGAGCGGAAGTAAAAGAACTGCGCGCTATACAGAAGGTGAAGAAGGATATAAGCCGGGATTCTGTATAGCTTCAAGAGGAGTGACTCGATTATAGCAGCGTCCGTAGCGGTATCTCTTACGCCGCTATATTTACGGCTAGCACTATTACTAGCTACCCTTTTTAAGCCTTTGCTATCCTTAATCCCGGCGCCACTATTTATATCTTTAACGATTTTTCCTGTTTTAGTGATTTTATACCAGCTACGTAGGGGGACTACGTAGTAGCCGGTAATTCGTCCCTGCTTATTAAAGGTTACGGTAACGTGACCGTGAGATTAAACGGACTAACAGGAGGCCCCGATTTTCGACTCTAAAATATTATATACTACGAGGGTTTTACTTATAATTTAATCTCTAACTAACGCCTAGGATAGCGAGGATACTAGTAGGATTAGAAGCCACTAAATAACTGCCTTTAACGTGCCGATAAATCTATACTATACTAGCTAACTTATTACTTCGATTAGACTGTCATTAAGTACCTGCTCTATATTTTGAACTAATCTACGGCTGCTTTTCTAGGCTCTTCTTTTACCCGAAAGGGCGTCTATAAATCGACGATACGTTATCTAAGTACTATAGAGGGTATCTTATAGTATCTACCGCTAGGGCACGCTAGTCCTAAGTCTCTTAGGCACCTTGAAGAGCAGACGTAGGGGGCTAAGATTAAGGGACTAATAACTATCGACCACGAGGCCTATAAGCATATAAAAATAAAACGATATATTAGCAGGTACCCTTACACCGCACTAACGTATATAGAGGAACGGTAAGCGATTAATTTCACGGATAGTGAACGAACGTCTAAGGGGGATTTGCGGTTTATATTTTTTACCGACCGTTATAGTGGTTTTACGGCCACCTACATTATAAAGAGTAAACTGGTAGCGGATATCCTCGTAATAATTTAGGAATTCCTCGCCTAGGTGGACTGTTAATTAGGCTATAAGATACGTGTTCTTAAAGCTAATAACGAGCTAACTTAATCCCACGATATTACCTAATTCCTGCGCGGAAAGGGTATCCTTTTAGAGGTATCTGCTACCGATAATTAAGCGTAGAATAGAGGTCCGGAAGGGGTACGGCCGTGCTGATCTTGAAAAGTCGTGCGATCAATATCCACGTAAAGCTACGACCGTTTATATAGCCTAAGGCTATTCCTACGGCTGTGTACGTCTATAACCGTACGCTGCGAAGGCAGTAAAAGGATTAGAAAATGCTATACAAGGTTCTCTTTAATAGAAAGCCGATTTTATAATATCTTTGAGCCTATAGTTATAAGACGTACGCGATAACTAAGGACGCCTAAAAGGGCACTAATAGGCTAATAAATTGTGTCGCTCCTTATTTCTATATCGGCTACCTTATCGGCTACGATTCCACTAATATCTTTAGTATTTAGGTGCTAGGCCGGGGCCGCTACCGCGTTATTGGCACGCGCGATATAGATTTTAATAAACGTGCCTTTTTTAACGGCGATATTAGCGGTTTTAAGAATAACCTGCGTTAATTAACCGAGGAATAACTAGAAGATTTAGTTAGTTAGATCGAGTAGGAGAAGGCTAGAGATTCACGGCCGTTTATAGACGTATAAGCTAAGGACCCCCCCCCCCCCCCCCCTTGATATAACTGCTTATTTTGAATTTAAGCCTTTACGAGGGCTAGTTCTCCCCGGATCCCCTTCCTCGGCGGCTTTACCGTTAAGGTTATAGTCCGTAATACCCGGCCCTAAAGGGGTGGAGGAGGCTATCTTAAGTCTAGGAGGATATGATTCAGGTCACGAACTATATATTTTAGCTAGTATAACGCTTAATCCCCGTCCATAGCCATCTACCACTCTACCAGCAGCCCCGCTATCGGTTATAGCGCTAATAGTAGCTATAGTCTTAGGTAATCGTTGTAAAGCACCTACGGCTATAGGCTTCCTTATAGATAAAGAAACACTATACCGCGATATTCCTATAGCGACGGCTATAGCGCTCCTTATAGATAGAGGAGCGCGCCCTAACTTATAAGGCGATAGCTGGAAAAGAGACTTTTACGTGATAACGTTTAATGCTAGCCGTTACGCCCCGGATATATATATAACAAAAAGGACTCCGCTTACTAAATTACGGTTAAAAAGGTTTCCGTCTATAGCGCTATAGCGACGTTTAACGGCACCTCGGGAATCTACGCCCTTGGTAGCAGCCTCGGGAAGTATATACCTAGTAGTCACTCCGGCGGTTACTCCGGCGCCCGCGAAGATCTATCGTATAAACCTCCCTCCTCCTCCGAAAAGCCCTCGCGATATACTCTTATACTCTTATAGCTACCTATTCCGATAGGTATAAGAAGACTATCTACGGAGCCACGAGGAGATAGGGTTATGGATACGGGTACCGGCGTCCGTAGTAGATAGAAATCAGCTTCTTAATTCCACATAGGTAATAATATATAAATTCGATAAGTATAGATTTCTATATAAATATAAGATAAGGCTTATAGTATAAGGAGATTAGTAGTATTAATTCTCTTTTAAGGCGACGCATATAGGAACGCCAGCCACATAGTCGTTCCGCGCGTTAATAGCTATCGCCGCCCGTTTTAGCCTCACGCTATTATAATTAGGTATTATAAACGCGTTTATATATACGCCCACCCCCCACGATATCTTTATATACCCGTGGCCAGGTTATCTCGCCTTAGAGAGTCGTTTATACCTAAAAAAGGCGTTATATAAACTTACAGAGTCCTTAGTACTTTAGTAAAAGCACTTTTCGGCTATCCTATTAGAGGACGGTTTCTAGATAGTATCGTAAGAACCGTGTTACTTTCTACGCCGCGGTTTAATTCTGTTTTTCTATACTAACGATATCGTTATTGCTTATAAGGAATAATATAAGGCCTAAATAAAGGAGGCCGTTAATAACCTATAACGCTACTATAACCTACAAGGTAGCGATCGTCTATAATAGTGCCGTAGTATTAAGGTTATACGCGACCGCGTTACCCGTAAAATCTAGTTATCGTAACGCGACTATATTATAATATTAGAACGCCTATTAAAGCCGAATAAGAAGTATAGCTATAACTATCGCCTAACGCACCGAATTAAAACCGTAGAACTACAGCCTTATTTAGGGACTTTAACTAATATCAAAAGCTATTAACAGAAGATAGGATCTATGCTATACGTACTAGTGATATCGTGACCTAATATCGCGTTTATAGTATCTAGACTATGCTATTTTAATACTAACCTAGGCCCTAAATACTACGAAGCCGCCGATTATCTAATCCTTTATTTAGTTAATAGCTAATCGTTTATATTAGAATTAGGGGGTAGCGACACTATTAAAGTCTATACTAACGCCTCCTTTACTAATAATACCCTGAATCGTAAAAGCGGTTAAGCGTTTGTGATACGCTTATTTAGAGGAACTATCGTATAGCGCGCTAATAAGCAGGATACGGTCACAACGTTAATAATGGAAGGAGAGCTATTAGTATTAGTATAAGGTATAAAGGAGGGTATCTTTATATAACGCCTGTTTTACGGTATAGGAGTGGAATTTAACTATCCGGAATTAAGGATCCTATACGATAATAACTAAACGATTCGGTTCGTTAATTAAGAGATTAGCACGTTAATAACACGCCTTCGCTATATTAATATCCACGGCTATTAGTTATGCTAGGTAAAGAATAAGAGTAAATACTCGTAGCGTACGTTATAAGCGTGGAAAAAGTGGTAGACGGGCTAACGAAGGCGTTATACGGCGAGAAATCTAAGATATTTAGGTCCTAGGTGGGCGTGATAGATATAGAGGAACGGCTATAGTAAAAATAGCTAGAGGAAGTCCGGATAAACTATTTAGAGGACCTAAAGAATATATTTAAGGGCGGCTATAGCGAAGAAATCGTATGGATTCTATACCTATTATATCTGCCGGTACGAATAGCCTAAATCGCCTAACTAACGTTTAGGGCGATTAGGGGGTGTGTCGAATAGACTATAGTCTTTTCGGTTATATAACAGGCCGCACTACTAAGATTATAATCCGGGTAGACGCTTATAGAATCTGCATTATATAGAATACAGTGGTAGCGTTTCCGTAACAGTCTAATAGAGTTATAATTGCATATAATTACCTTAATTTATCTTAACCTATTTTGTGACGATTTCGACTACGCTTTATCTAAAAGGCCTCGGGGATCAGGAACTAATAAGGGTAGACCCATGGTAAAATACCGGATAGGATCCAAATAGAATAGTACGTCCGGAGGAGTACTGCCCCTTATAAAAATAGGGCAAACGGTCTCGGACACGTTATAACTTAACATACTACACACACGCGAAGATTTTCCCCCAAGTCAGAAGAGTGCATTTGACGTGCGACATTTAGACCTGCAGGTCAGAGAACTACACAATTCCCTCAAACAATTTACCCTTCAATTTGGACCCTATTTTTGACGGTTCCAGTTAGGACGGTTCCAGTTACGACGGTTCCAGTTACGCTGTATCTGACATCAAAGCATGCATTTGATCGTAATTATCACAAGCTGTTTCCATGTCCTAAGTCGCAAGTCGCCCTGAGTGTCCCCTTCAACAAAATCAAACGTCACAGATAGGTCCACATCCCTCGTGAACAAAGCTTGCGTCCTTACCCGTCGGCGTTCATCCTTTTCACCAGACATCAGTAGGATCAACTTCATATGTCTCGCCATCCTCTCTGATATGCTGAAGCTTCTTGTCTCTCTTCATGGGCTTTCTCATGTCGTATGCATCTTCACTCTGGGCAGTGGAGTCTGTGGCATGCTCGCCGTAGTAGTCCTTGACGACTCGGAAGACACTGTACCCAAGGTTTTTATAGAAAGCGATGGCTCTGGCGTTTCCCTTCCGAACAAACAAGTCTACAAACCAGGCATTGTTTGCATCTGCAGCTAACTCGAGCTGTTCGGTAAGAATTTTCCCAATTCCCAGCCTGCGGGCCTCCGGCGCAACAGTCAGGGCAGTGATATGTGCATGCCACGGCAAGTAATGCTCAGAGAACTTGTAAATTTCGGGCGAAGATTCCAGCTTTCCCATAACTAGACCCAAACGATCAGAATCACTCGACCCACAATAATAGCTCCTCTCGACTTACTATAACCTATGATGTTTCCATTTGTGTCTTCGCAGACCTGAAAGAGAGAGGGCCATCTCGCATGATATTGTAGGTAAAATACAAGCTCGTATGTCTCAGTTAGAGGATCGAGATTGCACTTCGAGATTTTGTCCACGTCGTCGGGCCTGAAGCGCCGGAATGTTGCCATGTCACTTTGCTTCGTGGCGGTGGCTTGTATTATGATCAGTCCTTGTTCAGTGGTTCGGAACTGGGGTGTAGAAAAAAGCCAGGGCGGAAAGAGCAAGGTACCCGTGCCACGCCCCACTTATTTTCGTTCGTTTGGCACTCACCAGCTATAAGCTGGTGCTGGACAATTATACGGCCAGAACAGTTACATCGCCACTTACTTCTCTACCCGCCAAAACTAAAGCGATTTAGCTAAAGTTTTCTATATAGCTACTTTATTAGTATCTCATTTAATAGTAAAAAAAATAGTAGTTATTACTCGAGTTTTGGCGGGTAGAGAAATAAGTGACGGTTTAATTATCCTGGCGTTTAAACTGTCAAGCACCAGTTAATAACTAGTGAGTTCTAACAAACCAAGTTTTAAATAGAGCGTGGCACGTGTCGCATAGGCACACGGACCATAATATAGTCTATAGGGGATCCAGGGGGAATCCACGCTATAACTAAGGGCTTCGGATATCGGGGACCTCGGGTATCAGGATATAACAGGGGCGGATACCGGAAAAGACCGGATAGGATCTAAATGATATAATACCTATAACGGAGTCTTCACCACCTAAATTAAGGGCACGAGAGACTTATATAGATATAACTTACTATAAGATATATACACGAGATTTCTGCTTTACTAAGTTGATTATCTAAGTGCCTTTTGATATACGATAGTTATAAGCCCGGTTTATGACGCCTAAACGATAGATATTAATAAGGCTACCCCTATTCTACTACAAAGAAGTAATTATATCTATATAAGCACTCTTAAATAACTACTATCGATCTGATTAGAGTAATTAAAAGATCAATTAACCTACCTATTAACGAACCGATAAACGATAAGCAAGTAAAGATATCTTCTAATGTATCTAACGCCGAATAGAAGGCGGTCGCTACTACCCTTATTAACGAAAGGGATTAGGTAGTATAGAAGCCCCCTATACGTGGTAAATCCGCCTCCTACTAGGATAACTATCTTAATCTAAAGCTAAGCGACGAGGAGGCTAACGCCTACCTCCTACCTATACCTACGCTACCTAATATTCGTAAATATAAAGCCCTCGCCGTAGACCCTAAAGCCACGGAGGAGGCTACGGCTACTCCGTTTTCTACTATCACGCTAAAGGGCGATAAGGCCACGGATACTACGGAGGCCGCTACTACGGCTACTACTATACTGGCCACGGCCGCCGGTAAGAAGAAGACGGCCGCCCGCCGGAAGGCTACGGCCATAATAAAAGAACTAACGATAAGGACGCCTATATCTATTAATAACCTCTCTAAAAAGGGGTGTACGCGCTACCTATAAGATTACCGTGTATACCGCGAAGAAAAGGCAGACTATAACGCGTAGCAGAAGGAGTTTAATAAGGTACGCTCCTATATTGAAACGACTATCTACACCACGTTACATAGCCTCCTAGCCTAGTTATAGGACGGTACTATAAATAACCTATAGGCCTAGATTACTCTCCTACACGCGTATATAGGACCGATACCTATAGACCTCTGTAAGGAAGCCCTAGTCCTATACCGATAATACACTACGCCTATAAAGGCTATACCTAAGGATATAGACGCCTGGGTAGTAAGCTAGAAAATAGCGATAATATACTATAAATATACAGCCGTTTTACAACTCTTAAGCGCGGACCGTTAAGTAGAAGACGCGTTAAAAGCTATTAGACCTATCGCCTAGGAATAGAGTAATAACTACCTAGTAAATAACTACGATAAGATTACGGAAACTAAGCTAACGATTAACGACTTCGTAAACGCTCTACCTACGGTTCTTAGTAATATAAAAAGCCTATAATCCTCCGTTATAAAGCCTAGAGTCGGGAGAGGCACCTTTAATACCCTCGGGAACCTCCCCGATACTAAGGATACTACTAATAATAAAGATAATAAAAAGCGTCCTTATAGTAACACGTCCGTAAAGGCTATCCTTCCTATAATATGGAGGCCTTATAAGATATATAAGAACCCGTATACTACCGACGCCTATTAGTACGTAAGGCCGGATATACGCCCTTGTACCTAGTGTAGCCACGAAGATATTATAAAGGTTATAGAAAAGAAGATACGTAATTATAGTTTTAAAAGCCGCGTAGACACCGCGATATAAAAAAGGCGAGAAGCCTTAGAGGCTATCACCGCTAATAAGATAGAGGAAGTCTAGGAAAATTAACTCTATAATACTACGCCTACGACTATAATAGTTTATAAAGACCTATCCGTCACCGCGACGGGACTAAGAGCCTACCTAACCTAAGGGGTAGCGCGTTATCGTACGGTAATACTATTAAGAGTATAATAAGAATATGGCGTATCCTTTTCTATTAACTAAGCTAGAGCGCTATTATACTACGCGATCCTAGATTTAGGATCGTTAATCTATATCTTTAATAATTAAGGCCGTTTTACGGCCGTTAGACTACCCACGGATACTTTATTATCCTTTTAGGTGGGTACTTATAAGGCTTTTATGCTCGGATATAAAGACGTTAAGCTATATATATAATCTCTATCGGGTATAAAAAGGCTATTACGCCTTCGTGACGTCGTATACTATAAGGAATTCGTCACTAATATCGTCTCGGAATACTAGCTACGCCTATAAGTCTACCACCAGGATACCGTAAACGATACTATTATTAACTCCGCCGACGACCGGCCTATCTATAAGCTACTAGATATCCACGGCTAGTATATAATTAAGCGCGCGGAAGCCACGGCCGCTACCGTGTTCGCGGTCTCGGTAAGGCACCCCCGCGATAACCCGTATAGAAGATCACGATAACCGCGGTAACTATAGAAGACTATAGCATAGTGGTAGTATAAACGCCTCGGCTACTACGGTACCAATATACTCGTAAGGATCGTTAACGTTACGTAGGGGGTAAAGATAAAGGGACCTTATATAACGGACTATAACGTGTATAGGTAATCGTAAGTGTCTACGCAGATCCGGCGGATACTATCCCTTTACCCGTTAAAGCCCGGAGAGGCCTTAGCTATTAATTTTCACGATCTAGAAGAGTCGGAATCGCGAGGCGGCCTATATAAGTCTATTACATTTACTATAGACGTGTATATAGGTTGTATATAGGATTACTATCTATAGACAAGAGACTAAGGCTCTATCCTACACGTATTAAAAGACGTTTTTACCCTGCTTAAAACCTAATTCGACGTTAAGCTATATATCCTATAGGCCGATTCTAAGATATTTTAGTACCTAGAAGTCGTTACTTTCCTTATTACTAAGGGGGTAGAAGGCTAGCCGTCGGTATTATATGTATAGGATTAAAACGGCGTTATAGAACGGATTAAAGGTATTGTTAAAAGGAGGACGAGGGCTATAAGGATTAGGGCTAATCTGCCTACGTCTATCTAGCCTAAGATCTTTAAGACTACTATTTATCTATATAATAGAACGCTATAATATATTAACGACTGGCGAACGCTATATAAAGGCCTACGCGACCGTTAACCTAACCTTATATACCTATAAGCTTACGGCTATAAAGCCTTTATAAAAACGCGGGATACCTAAGCTAAAAAGAACCGCCTATAAAGGCTAGAACCGAAGGTATAAATCGGTTATTACGTCGGATACTAATCCTCGAATAGCTTCCGTATTTAGCTACTATACTTAACGGATATTATTACTATAAGAGACGTTGTCTTTAATAAAGGTAAGATATTTAATAGCAAGATTAAAACGCTATAAGCTATAGCTTCCGCCGAGGAAATCGGGGAACGCCTATAATCTATCCGTATCACCTAATCTAATAAGACCGCGAAAAGGCTACTATTAAGGGGTATAGCCGTAGACGTATTAGATCTTAAGTCGGAAGACTCTAACGCCACCGCTATTATTACAGATAAAGGCGAGGCCGTCGCTATTACTACGGGAGAGGCCACTACTATTATTATAGATTATAGCACCGCTATTACTACGGATACTACTATTACTATAGGAGAAGATTATACTACCGCTATTACTACGGGCGAAGGCGATAACACTACTATTACTACGGGCGACGAAAAGACTACCGCTATTACTACGGATACTCCACAGTTTACCACTACGAGGTTTAAGCCGTTTCCCACGCCTCTAATATCCCCGGAAGATCCTGCGCGCGCGTTCCTTATAGCGTTAGCGGTAGTCAGGGGCGTTAAAGTAGAAGGAGATAATAACCACTAACGGGCAGCCGCGGATACCTCTAAGGGGTGCCTATCCGCCAAACGTCTATCGGCCGCGCGCCTATTACCCGCGCGCCTATATATTATAAGCCTCTATATAATGGAGAAGGTGCAGAATAATACCGCCTAAGAGGCGTTCTTTAATGCTAGAAGGACTTATAACCCTATACGCGCAAGAAAGTAAGCTATTAATAACGGTAATATCGGTGCTATAGATCCCTCTCTCTCTAACGCCTCCTAGCCGCTATCGTATATATCCCGCGAGGATCTCCCGCCTCTACTAAACCACTACCGCGATTTACGGCTCTACCCGTTATGGAAGCGGTAGTTATAGGCTAAGGGGGAACACCTTAAGGGCCACCTATAGATAGGCTGCTAGTAGGAGGTCTACGGTGATTAGGCTAATAAGTAATAAGTCCTCGCCTATAGATAGGTATACACCTATTAATCCAATAAGGAGGGCACCCTCCTTGAGTATAAGGCACGCCTTATAGTATAAGGGGACTAATAAAAACGGTTAAAGACTAAAGATAACTACGCCACCACGTTAGCCTTATAGTCCTTTCGTATACTAATAGCTATCGCCGCATAATTTAATCTGGAAATAAGGTCGTTTAACGCTATTAATATATTCGTTAACGCTAGCCTTAAAGAAAAGGTATTTATAAAGATACCGTAAGGCTACGAAGTACTAGGTAAGGTCCTACTACTACGAAAAGCCCTCTTCGGCTTAAGGGTATCGCTACTACTATAGTAAGAGGAACTTAGCGGCACGCTATAAAAGATAGGATTCACGGCTATACCTAAT